CCGGACATACCCTGCCAGGCCATTCTTGGGTGCCCGACCTACCCTCCCAGGCAATTCTGGGGTGCCCGACCTACCCTCCGGTTTATCTCAACCGATTATAGGGACTATTTCATCCCCTACTGCTTCCATATAATAACATAACATAAACATACTGCCAGACAATTCTGGGGTGCCCGACCTACCCTTCGGTCCTTACGACCGTGGCACGGGGACTATTCCCCCTACTACTACTATCACATAACATCAAATCATGCTAGCACATAAAACACGTCAGGTAGTAGCAAATGTAGATAATTATCACAAAGACAATCATCTAACAAACAACTCCTACTAGTGGTCCGGCATTGTGGCCGTAGACCCACTTCTACTGGAAGGTAACTCACCTCACACTGCTGAAGTCCATTGCAGGAAATCCTTAGTTGATGTCCTGGCAACTCCCTGGGCTATCAATACCAAAATATCACCCAATTAGCAATTGGGTTCCAAATCATGGTCCATAATCCTTACTTGGGTAAAATAACAATTTTACCCCTGGCCCACAAGATACTTAGCTAAGGCCCAAGTCCAAAACTCCAAAATCCATAAGAGCCCACTAATGGCCCACTAATGGCCCAATCTTCCAAATTGGGCCACAACCCTTACATGGGACTACCCTCTAGCATCCATTCCGTACTTCATAATCCTCTAAGGGTCAACCTTGGTTAAAGTCAATGTCAAAGTCAACATTCTGGTCAAAGTCAACATCCTGGTTGACTCAACTCGCCGAGTTGGTCCATCAACTCGTCGAGTTCCTGATCCATGAAACTCTAGAAATCTCGATCCTACTCGTCGAGTCCTTTCATGAACTCGTCGAGTTCCCTTTCAAACAGAGTCGGGACAAACCAGAACAACTCGTCGAGTTCTTCCTTGCACTCGACGAGTTCCTCAGTCTTCAAAACTCGGAGAACCTTATCCACTCATTGAGTCATCTCTTAGACTCACTGGGTTTGCTCCGGAGTCAGAAAAGTAGGGAATCGCGATCCAACTTGCCGAGTTGCATGAGCAAATCGTCGAGTTCCTCTTAGTCCTCACTCATTCAGTCGATTCCAATCGAGTCCAATGCTTCTAAATCATAGATTTTGGTTCCCTAGGGCTAGTAAAACACGTAAAGTTGCTAACTTTATGTCCATGCATGGTGTTATGAGCTAGAAACTCCAAAAACCAAGCTAAAATGAAGATCTAGGGCATGGAGAAAGGCCATGGACTAATAAAGTTGGCAACTTTGAGCTTCATGAGCTCATATGTGCCTAGATCTGAAGTCACAACTCCATAAAACACTCAAATCCCGAAAGTGACTTCAAAATGGCCCAAAAGTGACAACATACTAACCTAAATGAGGATCTAAGTGATAGAAAGTCAAGGTATAAGCTTTATACCTCAAATGAGTCTGAAATGTAGCTTGAACTCTGAATCTACTGACTTCCTCTTGAACTTCCAAGCTTTTCCTTCCTTCCCAAGCTTCAAAATCACAAAGAATAGTTCAAAACTCTTCAAAAACGGATTATGGTTTCTTAGCTAGGGTTTATGACGATGGGGGCAGCAAATGAGGCCAACAAGTGGAGAATAGGATGCTTAAATAGGGTGCAAAACCCAGAAATTAGGGTTTCATTCTCCAGCTCCAACTCGTCGAGTTGGTCCTCCCTAACTCGTCGAGTAAGTTTCTCAACCCGCGTCCAAACTTATTCCCATTTCTACTCAACGAGTTTTGGGCCTCCAACTCGTCGAGTCCCTTTGCAAAAATGAGAATTCTTATTTAAAATACCTACTAGGAACCGGACATTACACACACACACAGAGAGAGAGAGAGAGAGAGAGAGAGAGAGAGGGAGGGAGGGTGGGTGGGTGGGACCCCTTGCATATTAAATTTCATTTTTTCTTTTTCTGTTATATAAAAATTAAGAAAAAACCTTAAAAATATCCCTGGGGTAGTGAAATGATGAAAATGTATTTCACTTAACGGACAAATACTAACAAAATGAGTCATAAACATTAAAGTTTTGAAACCACATGGCCCCCCGTGAGATATTTTAAAGTTAAGAACGAAACTTCAGCTTTTGTGAAACTACATAGACCATTTATGAATTTTTGTAAAAAAAAAAAAAAGGATGAACGACGAGTAATTATTGTATGCAACTATTTGGGAAATTTTGAAGCCTCGTTTAGTGGAGTAACATCCACCTAACTAGACCAATAGAATCGAGACACGTGGAAGATAGAATGATGTTGTTTACTATGTTCGGAAAATTCAATCTCTGGCTTTCTATATTGATACAAAATAATACATGAGATTAAGAGGGTTGAAGCCCGACGTCAACCTAACTTTATTTAACTCGGTTACGAAAACTCATCACATGAGCAAGGTTGACTCTGGGATTAAGTACACATTCATGCACACGCATACACATCACATACACATTTCACGTCAAACATGCAAGCATTAATATAGTGCCGACGATCACTATGATAGTTTAATGGTCTTCTCTAGCTACCAACTAGGGTTATGGTCCAAGATAATTAATGTTTTTTCTATTTGGATTTTATCAACTTATGAGATGATATATGTTATGAGTGAATGAGAGAAGAATGTAATGGTCTATTGAAATCAATAAAGTTTGTTTTATTTGATGGAATGAAACAAAAATTCTTATTATTTCGATCTTTAAAAACTATATCGTCTTATATCCAAAATGATTTTTGTAATTCATCATCGAGTGGAATGAAAAGTTATAATATTTTGTTTTATTTATGTAGTGTTTAATAGATGATATGTTCTATTATGTTAAGATGTTCTATTGTGTTCTAATCTCATCAAAGTCCACATGGTCGATCCTGAGGAATTAAATATCGTTAAAGGCTCTGGACGAGCCAGGAAAAAATGGTCCGTATCTTTATTATAAGTTTTTATTTTTTTCTTATATTTTTTTTATTTTGTTTTTTTCAATTCGTGTTTTTTATTGCCTTTTTTTAATTTGTTTTGAATTGTTTCTTGTTCTTGCTTGGTTTTGTTTTGAATTTAAACATGATTTTCAAATGGTTTCAAATATTATAATGTTGTGGTGGTGGTGGTGACTCCAGGTTGTTGTAGATAATGATTTCATGTAATTTATTTTTTTAAGATAATAAAAAATAATTTTTAACTTATAAACTCTAAAAAAACAGACCTTTTTTATACGAATTAACTCTTTTATACGAACTAGATGGGAATCATGCGCGCATTTGGCGCTGAGTTACTGTAATTTTTCTTCTTTCAGGTTGATGTACTACAACATAATATTATAGACTAAACTGCACAAATGGTCCCTGTGGTTTGCTCAAAATTGTCACTTTAGTCCAAAAAGGTTTGGTTTAGCACCAGAGGTCCAAAGTTTTCATTTTGTTGCTTGTTTGGTCCAATCTGTTTTGATTTTTTTCAAAATGACAAATTTGCCCCTGTTAATATGATTTTTTTTTCTTATTTTTTTCTAGTTTCCAGATTTAAAAAAATAAAAAATATAAATATAAATAAAATAAATCTCTCTCTTTCTCTCTCTCTCTCTCTTATTTATTTTTCTGAGTTTCAGATTTAAAAAAAAAACTAAATCTCTCTCTCTCTCTCTCTCTCTCTCTCACTCACTCTCTCTCTCTCTCTCTCTCTGGAAATCCCAAGCACAAAAAGGAGGCTGCTACCCTCCGTTCTAACCATGTTTTCTTCTTTTTTCTCGATGACAAACAACCCAAACACCCCCATACTTGTTGTTACTGCCTCCCTTCTTCTTCTTCAGTTTTAACTGAGAAAACCTCCACCGGAGATGGGGTTTTTCGGCTGTCAAGAGGGCAACAACCCCTACCGTTTTCCTTATGCTTATCGTCGGCTTCATAGCAACCCAAATGCCCCCACCTATTGTTGTTCTATCTCCGATCTGCCTTACCCTTTCCTTTCGCGTTTTCCTCCAGATCAGAATAGGAACAGTCAAGAGGCCGCTGGAGCAGCCCCTTAACTGTAGCAGTCAACAAGTGCCTTTGTTGCTTCGTTCTTTTCCTTCCCCCAACCTATTCACATCTTTACCGCCTCCATTCCCTCCTCCACTTTCTTGTTGTTGGTACCCAAACACCAATAACCAACTGAAGAGCATTGGCTCCTCAGGAATCCCCAAATTGAAGATGCGATACAACACCAAAACAAACCTAATCAGGTAAAAACGACGAGTATCTCTATGTATTTATGTGGGAATCTTCTGGGAATCACTTCTCTAGCTCTTCAAATCAGGGTTGATTTCGTCTCTTCAAATCACTTCTCTTTGAGAGTGGAGGCACACATCAGAGCATCAGGTGAACAGATTTAGCAAATAGGTTTGATCGTCTGTTTCCAGCTCTTTTTCATGGAAATCGAAGATATGGACTTTTCTCCTTACGATTTCTGGATGAACCCGATTTGTTTTTTTACCCAACTCAAAACAGAGAGAAAGGAGAAGATCCTGAGAGAAATTAGTTTCATTAAGTTTGTAGAGAGAATATGAAGATGCGAGCAAGAAAGGGTGTGACCTGAAGATCTGAGATTGAAGAAGATGATGGTGGTATGTGTTCTTGGGATGTGTAGAGAGAGAGAGAGAGAGAGAGAGAGAGAGAGATTTATTTTTATTTTGTATTTTTTTAAATCTGATCAGAAAAATAAATAAGAGATAGAAAAATAAATAAGAGAGAGAGATTTATTTTATTTTTATTTTTTATTTTTTTAAATCTGAAAATCAGAAAAAAAAAATCATATTAACATAGGGCAAAATGACGCAAATTCGTCATTTTGAAAAAAAAATCAAAACAGATTGGACCAAACAAGCAACAAAATGAAAACTTTAGACCTCTGGTGTTAGTCCAAACCTTTTTAGACCAAAGTGGCAATTTTGAGCAAACCATAGGGACCATTTGTGGAGTTTAGTCAATATTATATTGATAAAGACATATTTAACATACATGAGGTCTTTGGATAGGGCTTACATAGAAATTTAGGAAAGAAAGTATTTTAACGCAGCAACATATTATTTAGAGCAAAAGACTATAAAACAAAGAAACAAACATATTACACGTAGGGGTGTTTGTCTTCAAGGAGGTTTTTGATTTCTTTTTTGAGATTGTCGATAAGTTCGTCATATTTATTTTGCATTTCCTGCATGGCCTTCAGCAGTTTTGCAGTCTCGTAATTGTTGTCAAATACCAGCTGCTGCATTTTCAGGTAGTTAGTGTACTATGGTTTGGAGTCCATCTGCGTGATGAGTTCCTTCATGTAGCTTTGGTGTTCCTCATAAAAAGAACACAAGTAACCATTTTCTTTTCAGTAAAATTTGGTTGCTACTTTTCAACAGTATAGCAGGCTTTTTTTTAACAGTGTACTCTAACATTTTAATTTCCAAGTTTTAATCTTAAGAAAAATCCAAATTAAAATCTATATTTAAGTGAATTAAAAAAAGAAAGGTTGTTGTTTCGACACCATTTGTTCAAATGAAAGTAAGCTGCAAATCTGATCCTAACCTTCCAATCAATTTTTTTTTCATTAAATTCTAGTTGGCTATCATCAAACTCCTTTTTACAAGTAGATTGCTAGTCTTCCCGACTTTAAAAGTGAAGCTTAGATTCTGGAATCACTTAAAGGGCATGAAAGTAATTGTGAAACTGTGCACGTTGACCATAATATCTGTAAATATAAAGCAAGAAGTTATCAAATTAACAAATAAGTAATTTATGAAATAAAAAAAACTTACTTAAATTCGCAAGTAAAGGCCTTTCCTTGAAATAGCTTCAAGGTTGGAACAAAGGGAAAATTAAGATCAAACAATATAAAAAATACAATGGTAAAGGAGAATAATCTCATAACTTACAATTATGGTTGACAATATCCATATGGTACAATGTTGTAGCAGAAAAAAACATTTCTCAAAATATCAATCAACCATATAAAAAATAATTAATCCAAGAAGAAAAAGAAAGGATTTAGTTTTTTTTTACAATAACTAACCTCATCACTGTCCTTCTTAGCTTGTAAAGTAGCAACAACATCTAAGCACTTTTCAATATATGTAATCTTTGAAAGAAACACGATTTTATATCTGTCAACTCCCTGCTCCATTGAAATAACTCCGTGCTCCATTGAATCAGTTAACACGAATATAAAAGCCATATTCAAATATCAAAACAAATATAAACGCCAAAAAACAGATTTAAGGTGTTCCTACAAAACAGATAACAAATTAATAACAATTTATGTAGTTTGAACATATATATAGCAACTGTAGGATGCAAACTCACACCAGATTCAAAACACATCACATATATAAACCTCACATTACATATTTAGATAGTAAAAACGAAATAACAAAATAATTTATACCTTCATAATCACAGCAAATTAAAACCTTCATTTTGCTTGTAGATAAGAAATAAGAAAATAGAAATTTGTTCCTGAAAAATAATAATAAAAATACGATTAAACCCAAAGAAGACAACTCTATATTTTACATAAAACACAAACACACATCATCTTTACAACTAAACATAAGGAAAAAAAAATATATAATCTGCCCATAAACAATAAATGAATATGTGTTCCTATTTCTTTTGGTTAACATTTATTTTGACTATTTTCTACGATGTTGATATTTTTTTCATGAATAACTTGTATGGAAGTCGGAAACATGAAAGGTACCGTCTTCTTCACCACTACCATCCACCCTATCGTCGGAGCTAAAACCACTGCATCTAAGATCAAATTTATCAATAACAGTTAACATCATATATCATATTTTAAGAATTGAATTGAGATATTAGATCCAACAATGGAAAGAATGATTCCATTCCATACCTTGAGCTTGTTCTTGGATTCCTTCTCAGCAGCTACCAAAAAGACCAAATAACCCCTTGTTGACGTTTATTCCTCAACTCATGAATCTTGTCATAGATTTTGTCCCTTTTCTCAACAACCGTATGTAACACTTCCTCTAAAGATGCAATCACACCATTTATGGCCTCTTTTTGCGAACCCCATCAAGATCAACACCAATAAGGTAGAAAAAAACAAAGAAATCATAATAAAGATTAATAAAAGTTATTATTTTTTTACCTAATAGGGGCATGACTTATATATGACTGTTTTTTTTTTACTTGATGCAGAAAAAAGGAACAACTTAATAGAGAAAGACTGAGAAATGAAGCTTTTGCATTACTAAAATTTAAATATCATTTATCCAGATAGTGGTTTCACTTACTTTGAGCTGGTCTTGAATGACATCTTTTTCACCAACAGATTTCTGAACTTCCGCCCTCATAGCACTATTGGCAATAACTTTATCTCGTATCCCTTCAAGTTGTTTGATTTCTTTAATGATTTGTTAGAGCAATACTTTCATTTTGAATGTGGTACTGTAGACTCTTAATCTACACTACAACCCAAAAAAAAAAAAAATTAAATAAAATAAAGAGCAACATTCATAAACAACTTTCAAGAATTTAATTATTTAATTATATGTTAAAAAATTGACTTACAACATCATTAAGGTCAGTCTCAGATGATCAAATGAAACTTCTATGGTCTTTATTGGCATCTCTTGGACCCATTAACCTACCCAATGCCTGTTTTAGAGGTTCAATTTTTTTCCTTTTCTCATCCATGATTGACCTAAATTGGTTTTTCTCTTCAACTAAAGCCTTCAATTGCCCCATCACTTGTGGTCTTTCAGTCTACACAAGTCAAGAAAATAGTGAGACAATCATTTAAACAGTAAGATCAAGATCAAAAAAGATTAACTTTTTCTTTATTACCCTTTTTGCCCTTAGCCTCCATTTGATCCACTAATTCTTGCAAATCCCCATCCCTACTTTGTAGAACCCATGATTCATAGACTGTTTGTGATGAGTTGTCTCTTGTTTGGATCATTAATCTTCAAAATTTGACTGTAGTTTGAACCGACGTTTAAAATAGCAGAATATACTCATAAGCAATTTTTTTTCTTTACCTGTAGTAAGAACGAAAAAAAACAATTTTCCAAAGTGAGAAATAAGTTTTTCTTTTACTATTTGGAATGCATAGTATATATTTTAAACGACAAAAAACATGTTCAGGTGTTCATTCCATTCCATTCCATTCCTGTGTGATTTCATTCGATCATACAAAATAGATATCAGGCATACCATTCACCGCCACTTGTTGATTGCTCTGCTTGCTTCTTTCCAGTCTTCTTCAACGAACTACACAACTTCCCACCAAGGTCGAGAAGGAAGTCGACGCAACCGAAAGATGTATCATTGAAAAGCATGTCGATCAGATGATGGATGACTGGAAGAGATCGATCGAATGAAGTCGATTGGGCAAAACAAAAGAATCATTACAAACATGTGAAGATAGTATCTGAGGAGAAATAATTGCAGCCAAACGCCTAGAAAAACGTCGTTTGCAAGATAAAAAAGCAGCCATGAGAGTGCATAAGACGAAAATACAACACATACCTAAAGAAGAACAGAGACGGCAAGTACCAGAAGCAGACAGAGGCGAAAAGAAAATTATAACGCAAATAAGCAAAGAAGAATATAAACAAAACACAAACGAACCTTATTGGAGGAGAAAGGCGGCAACCGACGCTGACGAGAAGAAGATAAGCACGAAACAAAGTAGAAGTTCCAACCGAGGAAAAGAAGATAATCACCGGCAAAACCCGAAATTCCAGTGGCAAACTAAGAAAGGAGAAGAGTTTAGTGTGCAAATAAGAAAGAGATGAAAAATAACTGTAGCTAAGGTTTTAGGAATTGATAGTATATATACTAATTACAGACTTCTAATCCACTACGATACATAAAAAAAGCTACTTACATATATTTTTACATACTTCTAATCCACTGCAATACATGCGTACATATATTTTACATCAAACAAACGTACACCACCTTCGTCTTATTGGTTTGTGTACCAAACACGAACTCTCCTTGTTATTTGACATTTGTATCTCAAACTTTTTCCTTATTGTTCTCAACTTAGGGTCCTTCATCTTTTATGTGATAGTGTTAGGAATCGGACCGGGTACACGCAGCAGAAACACACTATCACACACACAAACACACGAAGGAAATAAAGCAAGAAGGAACACAAGGATTTTACGTG